AAAGACTTTGCAGATGTATGGTGAACACCGGTTTGCATTGGCACCGAATGAGCAGAAAGCATTTAAGGGTTTCTTTAATCAAGCTATTGTAAAGGTAAGCATGAATCTTTTTCTTCGGTTTCTTTCATGACAACAGTATGTAAGCAGAAGTTGTCCCACCATCTGCGCATAAGATGTACCGCGTTAATTTCCTGGCTTAGATAAAAGTACTGATAATCTCTAAATAAAGGATTCATTTTTCATTGGCTTCAAATGCTCTTATCTTTAGTTTTTCGAAGGAGACGAAGGTGTTACTTGCACTGTTTGACATTTGCAATATCTTGATCAATCTTGCCTCCTAGTCTTCTTTTAAAATTTCTCTCTCGCTATCCTACATTAATCGATGATCTCATAGGTTTTCAAAACGTACGTTTGGGACGAGTGGTACTACTACTTACCTCAAGCAGTCGGTGCTTATCTTCTTTATGATTGGGCGAAGAAGAGGAACTATGAAGTTGGAAGAAAGAACCCAGCCGACTATGCCAATGATCAGTGAACTCGGCTCCATTCTAGATTTGCCAAAGTTGGATTAGAAGAATAAAGATTAGGCTTTTATGTACCTGCTCAATTTCGTTTTCGGACACTCAGTGAAGATAATGTTTACGGATTGTGCGTCTTCGCAAAAAAATTACAGTTCTAGCCTAGCAGAAGCAGCAGCAATTTGTCTCTCATAAGAATTGTGCAATTAGTTGCTGCACATCTCGAACGTGATCATTTTAGCATTATTTTAACTTTGCTCTGGTGTTTAGAATAAACTCCTGCTCTGATTTGTACGGTTTTTGCGCCATCAGTAATGTCTGATTTCATGGGAGTTTTCCAATAGGAATGCCTAGACTGTTCATTTACGTATGGTATGGCGCTGCGCATGGGTATATACAATCCACAGTCTGTTTGAGCATAGTATTCTCAAATGAAACGTGGCTAGTAGTTATTGAACTGCTGACGCCGACTCTAAAAAGGATAAAGATCGCAACTGCGCGCCGCCA